TCTTACTGAAGGGTCATCTTCTGGTTCCCCTTCTCTTGCCTTTGAACGGCTACGACCTCGAGATGGTGTTGTAGGAGTGAGGGGAATGGGAGCTGTGGCTATTGACAATGTATTTACTGTTGTCAATGGTGTCTGTATTGGTGCAGAGCTTTCTAATACAATTACAGGTTGACTATTATTGCTGTTACTTCCTTCTTCATTTATGTCAACAGTCAGTGGTTCATCTTCTGCAGCTTTCACACGTAATCTCTTTGATTTTCTGGTTAAGGGTACTACTGGTACAGAGGAACGATTTTCATCACTATCCACTGGTCGAACATCATCCTGCTCAGCTTTAGCTGGACTCCTCCCAGCAGCTGGTTTTGTGGCATCCTTCTTAACTTTAGCTTTGGTGAGACCCAAATTAATGTCCTCATCTTCTGATTCATGAAAGTCATAAACATCTGATGCTGTTGGTGCTGGCATTGGACGGCTGTCTTCCACCTGTGCAGCTCGCCCTCCACGGCCACGACGTCTACGCCCACTTGTTTCCTCATGATCTACCATATCAGGATGCCTTCGAGCACGTTTCATACGACTGCTACGTCTGGGTTCAGGTAATGCATTATCTGTAGTTGTACCATTTGTTGCCAAATCAACCACAACTGTATCTTGCTGACTTTCACTAGTACGTGCTTGTCGCCCTCGACCTCGGCCCTTGCCTCGTGTTACTCCACTAGAACGCGTTGCTGGTGTGGCATTGCCAGAACCATCTTCCTCTTGTACATCTGCCATTCTTCTTCCACCTCTTCTGCCACGACCTCTTCCTCTTCCTCGGATAGCAGCAGTATTACGTTCTTGTACTTTAGAACTATTTTCAGCTGTTTCATCAGAACTGGGCTTTTGATCAAGGCTTTGCTCTTCAGCTTGATTTTGAATCTCTGAACAAACTTGCTCCAACTTGGCCAGGTCATCCTGTGGTTGCTCATGTGTAGAGCCAGAGTCCTTAGTGGAGGATGACTGTGAAATAAGGACTGGTTGCTGTGGCAAAGACGCTTCTTCTTTATCTGGCTGGGAAGCATTCTCTATGTCAGGTTGTGTAGCTGTTTCACTGACAATGGTCTGAAGATTTGCTAAAACATGTTCAACTGCCACTGGATTATTCTTCCCAGTTTCAATTTTGACTGCTTCTGCTGTTGCTATTATGTCAACTGGAGAAATAAATTCTGGTCTTTGCTTGTGTTTGTTTGAAAGATCACCACCTGTCATTACTGGTTCTATTTTAACATTTAGAGTCTTAATATCAGGCTTACATTCTGCATCAACATTATTTTCTGAAAGGACTGTAGATTTTAGGGATGAAGAATCATTATGCATTATAGACAAAGTCTTCCATGTTCCAGAGGAATTTTCCTCCTTGATAGTTTTATCTATGTCCAGCTTTGTATCTATGATTTCTATTGGTTCTGTTGCAGTTCTTGGTTCAGCAGCAGGAATAGGAACAGAAGTAGGAACAGGTCCTGATATGGGCACAGGTACAGAAGTAGGAGAAGGAAGAGTACTGGTCTTTGTATTTGAAGTACTTGGTTGGGATGAGCTAATTGTTTGTGGACTAGGTAACAAACTTAAATTGGATGCAGTTGAGATGACAGATGGTGCAGTTGGAGACAATACTGTAGAGAACATGGTTGCTGTTGCAGTTGACAGAACACTTGGTGAACTACAAGTAATCACAGTGGTCACTAGTGTATTGGAATCAGAAGAGGATAATGATGTAGTAGCTGCTGGAGATGGTGAAGCATCTGAATAAGTGGGTGCTGATGTTGCAGTTGAAAAAGACTCTGAAACAGCTTTTATCAGAGTTGATGGTTCCGGTACTGGCAAGGAAGATACAGTGGATATTGGTGCCAGAGTAAATGTACTTGTTGTCGGAATTGTTTTAGCAGATATCAGTGTTTTCATTGGTACTGGTGCTAAAGAAGGCAATGATGTAGGTGTGGAGCCTGCAGATGGACTAGAGTACAGTGAAGTACTTGACAAAGTTGTTGAAGTGGGCACTGATGTTGATCCTAAAGATGAAACTGGGTCTGAATTAGATGTTGCAGTGGAGACTAATACTAAAGGTTTCTCTGGAACAAAAGCAGGTTCCTGAGGAACTCTGGATCTTGTTTTAGCAATACGAACAGATGCAACCAATGGGATTGATGAAACTGCCGATGTTGGTTTTGGCAAAGTTTCTAGACTGGAGATGGTTTCTGAAGAAGGAACCTTCACAGGATTTGCTGCAGTTATGTTTGTAGGTACTGCAACTGTTGTCTTCACAGGAAGTGGACCAATTACTGCATTTGCTGTTGTATTTGTGGATACTGGAGCCACAGTAGTACTTGAAATTAATGCTGTAGTAGGAATTGGTCCTACAGGTTTTTGCAATGTCTGAGTAAAGACAGCTGTGGAAACAGTACTTGTAGCTGTGGTAGGAATGGTAGGTGATATTTTTGAAGACACTACTGTTGATGTTGTAGAGGTACTTGAAGCACAGCTTAGAGAAACTACTGTAGAAGGTACAATTGTAGTGGGCACTATTGCACAAGCTGGTCTAGGTTTAGAATCAGTTGTTGTTGTAGCAACTGATGAGGGGCTAGATACCGTAGTAGTTCTTGATGTCAATGGTTGCATAGGACCTGAGGAAACTGGAGAATGTATTGTTGTTGGTACAGCCACAGATGAAGGGGTAGTAATTGTAGCAGAGGTTGGTGCTACAGTTGAGATGCTTTGCAAAGTACTTGGTACATTTGAAGAGTGTACTACTGAGGTTGATGGAATGGTACTTGCTGGAGTAATCATATCAGGCTGGACTGTTTTAGAAGTACCGACATCTAATTTGTCCGTTTCAGTAGTAGGCTGCACACTCTCGGGACTCTTTGGTCTATTTGACTTGGACTGAACTGATTCTGAATTTTCTGAAGTTGTAAGAGGACTTAATGACACATCTGAGGATTTTTGAAGGGTTTCAGCCATTTCACTATTTGAATCGAGACACTCCTTGTGTGTTGCTGGCGATTTTATGGATTCTGGTGTTTTGGGACCATCTTCAACTATAGCTTGTGATTGATTTGATTCAGTTACTGTCTCATGAGGTAAGCCACCTTTTTCTTCATCAAATATGAACTTAACCTTCTCATCACTAGCCTGCGTGGGATTTTTATTTTCTTCCTTTCTTTCTTGTATATCTTTTTCTTCCTGTTTGAATGTAGATTCTTTGTGATCTTCTCCATCAGTTACCAATTTAGTAGATGTTTCCCGTGGTTTACTAGTCTTTTCCACTGATTCAGTCCAGGCAGTTCCATGGCCGGATGGACATGATTCTTTCTGTTCTGGAGGGGCAGGTGGACCTTCCATATCATCCACTGGATCTGGTTGGTCTTCATCAATTTGCAGTTCTGGCTCTGACTGCATTGATGCTGGACTGTCAGGGGGTGCTTGAGGAAATCTTGACTCAACATTATCTGGTTCCTCCTCCTCTTCCTCCTCTTGTGTTGGTACTGGCTGAGTTTCACTTTCCCCAGCAACTTTTGTTGATGTTGTTGGTGTACTATGAGGAGTCTGCTGGGGCCATGCATCATCTCTTTCTCCCGGCATTTCACACTGTAACATCTGTGCTGCTTTCTGCGCTTCTTCAAATGCATCTTCTGCAGCCACAGAAGCATCTGGTGGCATCAATGTTTCCTCATCAGTGGGCTGTACACTGGCATCTTCACTGTAGTCATCATAACAAGCAAGAAGTCCAGCAACAGCATTCAAAGTTTCCTCCTGAGAAATAACTGCTCTTGAAGCTTTAGCACTGCCATTTCCATTATTTCCAGCAGTGACATCTACAGAATTTTCAGGAGCACTGAGATTAGAGGCTTCTGTAATATCTTCAAATATGGGTTCATGTCCTGCAGGAGATGATGGAGGGACATGAGATGCAAGACTCTGCACAGCAGATTCTGCTGCATCTGGAGGAAGGGTAGATAGAGGATGAGGGCTTCTGCTGTCCTTAACTTCTAATAATTCTTTACTGTCACGCGAGCCAACAGAATCTTGAGAGTCACATGACAGAGTTCTTGTGGATGGACTTTTCATAGAGATAGCATCAGGAGGACTATGTGGTGCATGAGTTGAGTTACAAACTGACCCAGATGGTGGTGCAACAACTCTTGGGCTATGCGGCATATTGGGAGTCTGTGCTGGTCGAGGTAATTTCTCCTTAGGGCTTAGCATGCTTGATGATGATGCACTATGAGGACTTTGTGGAGATGCTGTGTCAATCAACAACATGGATGAATGTTCAATGTTATGACGATCACTTTGCTGATCTCCAGCATATTGTTCTTCACTTGTATGTCGATGGTGACGCCTTCCACGGCTGCCCTCTTTTTCTCGGTGCTTCTTCTTCTTTTTCTTGTCCTTTCTGGTATCTCTTTCACCTGCATCTTCATCAGTAAACCGAAACACATCTACAGGAGCACTGGCTTCTGAATCATGAGATTCATTTTCCTCTTTAATCACTTCTGTGATTAGGAGAAGCTCAGACTGAGCAACTTCCTCTGCAGAGCTGCTACTATTTGCACTACTATTAGTACTCATAGTATTGCTGGTACTTGTGCTGCTACTGCTGCTACCTTTGCCAGAATCTGAGACCGGTCTAACCATCTCTGGAGGAGGAAGAGAGTCACGCTTGGATCGATCTTTCTTCACACTTCTTCTTTCCTCATTTCTGTACTCTGATTTCAATTTAGTCTCAATCTTATTCTCAGTTTTCTGCTCTATCCATGAACTGTCCTGTTGAATAGATTTAGTGGAGACATGCCCAGGTCTTGCAAGATTTGAAACAGGTGACATTTGAGTATCATCAGAATCAGTGTCATATACTTCACACACAGATAGTCTGGTTGGTGCTGGAGATAGTGATGGAGGAGCAGTGGAGGCACCTGAAGAAGCAGATCCTTTTCGCCTTGCTGTAGCTGAAGCAGGTCTTGGTCTTGGTGTTGGGGGTGTTGGGTCAGAGTCATCTGATATGAGACCAAAGATGGCTTCCATTCGTTCATCCTTTTTTGAGGGGACCTTTTCCCTTACAATACCAGTGTCACCTGTTCGTTTCCGTTCTCGCTGTGGTTGAGTCATGGGTTTTTCTGGCCTTATTTCAACGGGATCTGCCTTTGCTTTTGGTCTGACAGGCCTTGAATCTTCTGATGGTACTGCTCCATCACTGTCTTCTGATGTGCTTATGAGTTCCTTGCTCACACAAGGCTTTGTCTTTTCCCTGTTCCGGCCAACCTTTCTCTCTTTGTCACGAGCTTTCACTCTTGCTGACGGCTTTGGTGGTTTTGCATGAGATGGAACATCTGAAACTTCACTATCTGATTCTATCTCCCTTAGTGGCTTACTAGGTATTCTAGGTGTCACTTCACCTTCTGTATCAGAATCTGTATAAATATGATCACCACGACTTCGGATTGCATCAGAAGGTTCAGTATTGTCTGAAATTCTATTTGGTCTTCCAGATGGAAACCTGGGCATATTAACAACAACTTCTTCATCTGTTGTGACATCTGAGACTATCATATTCTTAACTTTATGTTTCTGTTCCTTTTTGTTACTGAGCACTGCTGCGATCTTTTTCTTATCTTGACGAAGGCAAATATCATCATCCGTTTCATCAGTGGATAACTGTGTAGGACGTCGCTTACGAAATGGATCATCATCAGAACTTGTGTGTTGATTATGTACACGTTTCTGGCCACGCACATTCTCTTCCTCCTCCTCCTCCTCCTCAGAGTCTGATATGTCTGAATGCATTGGATGCACTGCCTTCTTCTCCTTCCTTGCACGCTGATGTTGTCGGTACTTCTGCATCTGCAACTGTTTAATTTCTTGTTGTCTTCGATCTTCCTCTTGCTTCTGCTGGACTTTCAGCCGCCTTGCTTTAACCTTGTCGTACATGTCAAACATACCGTCATCAGCAGGAATGTCAAATATTGAATGCTTTTTAGGAACAACCTCTTCTCCCTCTTCCACCTCACCACCTGAACCAGTCAGGCTGTCTGCAGTATCACTCTCTGGATCAAATATGGATTTTGGTTTTACATTATGCTTGTTTTTCATACCAGATGTAACTCCTGGTCTTATTTGCTGTTGAGGAAGTTTACTACTTGTACTATTTCGTCTGGACATATTTTCACCTTTATGCCTCGTTACTTCATCTTCTGAGGTTGCTATGTCACTAATTTGCGTATCTGGTTCAACGGAATCTGTACGAACTTTGATCTTTGCAGGTTGTGGTGGAACAGTTTTGTTGCGGCTCGACAACACCTTTAATTTTGTTTCTCCATCACTCTTGTCACTTTTGCCTGAGTCATGCTTTCTTCTTCGGTTGTCACGTGACCTCCTCTCATCAAGCTCTCCTCTGGACTCTGACTTATCCAAACGATGAACTGATTCATCCATTTGTGGTAAAACAACATCATGATTAGTTACTGTTGTGTCATCACTACTAGAATAGTGAACAGAAGCCAGTTTGTTTGATTCTGTAACTTCTTCCTCATCAGTGTCCAGAGGCCGGGACTTGCGGGACTTATGTTTCATGTCAATGGTCTCTGAAGCATCATATGCTCTGTGGTGGTGTCTGCTTGAGGTTTCATGTCTCAAATCTTTTCTTTTGTCCATGTGACGATGTTCACTGTTGTGCCGCCCATCACGCTTGTTCTCAATTCTTTCATTGGTATCCCTGTGATTCATGCGTCCACTGCGTTCCTTCTCCCGCTCTCGTGAACGATCATTCAATCTCACTTTGTCTCTGTCCTTCTCCCTTTCACGCTCTTTCTCCAACACTTTTTCTCTGTCCTTTTCTGCTGCTTTTTCCTTTTCTTTTTCAAGAGCTTTTTCTTTTTCTAACATCTTTTCTCTCTCCTTCTCTAGAGCCTTTTCTCTCTCTTTTTCCAGATTTCTTTCTCTCTCCTTTTCTAAGGCTTTTTCCCTTTCTTTTTCTATGGTCTTCTCTCTCTCTTTTTCTCGCTCCTTTTCCAAGATCTTCTCTCTTTCTCTCTCTAGCTTTCGAGCCTTTTCTCTCTCTTTTTCCAGATTTCTTTCCCTCTCCTTTTCTAAGGCTTTTTCCCTTTCTTTTTCTATGGTCTTCTCTCTCTCTTTTTCTCGCTCCTTTTCCAAGATCTTCTCTCTTTCTCTCTCTCTTTCTAAGGCCTTTTCCCTCTCTCTTTCAAGAGCCTTTTCCCGTTCTCTTTCCAAGGCTTTCTCACGCTCTCTTTCTAATGCCTTTTCTCTCTCCCTTTCTATAGCCTTCTCTCTTTCCCTTTCAGCTGCTTTTTCTCTTTCTCTTTCTCTCTCCTTCTCTCTTTCCTTCTCCAAAGCCTTTTCCCTCTCTTTCTCAAGAGCTCTTTCTCTCTCCTTTTCTAAGGCTCTCTCTTTCTCCTTTTCCACAGCCTTTTCTCTTTCTTTTTCTAAAGCTCTTTCTCTTTCCTTTTCAGCCATCTTCTCTTTCTCTTTTTCTAATGCTTTTTCCCTCTCCTTTTCTAATGCCTTTTCTCTTTCCTTCTCAGAGACTCTCTCTCTTTCCTTTTCCATGTTCTTTTCTCTTTCTCTCTCAACAGTTTTTTCTCTCTCCCTGTCCACATTCTTGTCTTTGTCTTTCTCAGTCACCTTTTCTTTTTCCCGTTCTTTTTCTTTGTCTCTCTCTTTATCTTTAGTTCTTTCTCTGTCCACCTCCTTATCATGCCTGGAGAAAGTGGAACTTTTAAGACGTTCTTTGTCCTTTGATTTTTCCTTTCTTTCTTTATGTTTCTGGTCCCTTGTTTCAACTCTCTTGTCTTCACCATGTCTTCCTTTTCCACCTTCACTCTTGATTCTTTCCTCACGGATATTTTCTTTCCTTTCTTCCTTCTTATCTTCTTTTCTCTCTTCTTTCTTCTCATCATATTTTTCTTCTTTCTTCTCTTCACGTTTTTCCTCTTTCTTTTCCTCCTTCTTCTCATCCCTTCTTTCTTCTTTTCTTTCATCAGTTCTCCTATCACTGACCTTTTCAGAACTCCTTGTATCCACCTTGATGTCATGAAACTTTTCCCGTGCTATTTTTTCTGGAGGTCTTTCTTCATACTTTTCTTTCCGCCTGTCCTTCTTTTCTTCCTTCTTGTGGCTTTCCTCTTTTCTTTCCTCTGATCGATTTTCATGAGTCTTTCTCTTTTGTTTGGTTTCTGATCCATCAAATGTGCGATTGTTCAACTTTTCATCATGCCCTTCCCTCACTTCTTCCCTTCTACCACTTCTGTTTCTCTTTTCCCTTTCACTCTTTTTGCCATCCCTTGCATCCCGAGAATCTCTCCTATCTTTGGTGATTTTCTCACGTAAGACTTTTTCATCCTCACCTTCATACTTGACACGTTTAGCATCAGGCTCAACACCTTTGCAGTCTAACTTATTTCGAGTTTCTGCATCAACACTGCTATGTCTTCGTTTGTGGTTATTAGTTACGTCCTTATTCACTGGCTCACCCTTTATCACCTCCACCTTCACATTTTCAACCTTGATAGGTTCCAACTTTATAGTCTCAGATTTTAACGGTTCTAACTTCACTGTTTCAGTCTTCACTGTCTCTACCTTCACAGACTCCGTTTTAAAGTTAGGTACCTGTGCTTTAACCTGATCTGTTGCAAGCGATTCAATAGTGTCCATATTATCACTATCTTCCCTAGTACAATCTTTGGCTTTAGCTTCATCTAATCTGGGTTCTCCACTCTTAATTCTCTGTATAATAGGATCCACAGTCTCTTCCACACAAGGCTCTTCCTTTACTAACAGTGGGAGTGCATGACTGCCACTCCTCTCAGGTACATTGTAAGGAGCAGAATCTCCTGAAAGTGACCGTGAAACAGCACTGGGCACCGGTTGTAAGAGGCTGGTAGTAGTTGTTAATACAGACTTGCTGCAGGAGACTGTCTGTGTGACTGACACTACACCTGTAACACGAGTATCAGCAACAACAGTAACTACTCCACTTGAACTGCCATCCCCTAACTCCTCACCTTCATTGCCTGTGCTGACTGGTAACTCTAAACGCACTGTGCGTGGTGGTACAGAGGTACGTCTAAGAGGAGTGGCAGCTGAGGTAGTACTTGTGGTGGTGGCAATGGAAGAGGTGGTGGTGAGGGGTGGTGCAGGACTTACAGGCGTAACCGGAGATAAGTGCGGTGGATGGGCAGGACTTACTCCAGGGCTGACACCGGGGCTAAAGCCAGGGCTTGAGGCAGGTGGTCTTACTGCCTGAGAAACCGCAGGTCTATGCAACGGTGACAATCCCTGAGATTTACTGACCTGCGGCACAGAAACACACACCCTAGGAACTTGAGAAGGACTTGAAGTAAGAGGTTGTTGAGATTGTTGACTGGAAAGTCTGACACCTGGCAGGCTACTTATAGGTGTTGCAGAGGGCACTGCTGGTGGGGTGGTAGGCAGGCGAGGAACCTGCACACTCACAACAGGTGGGCTTGGTAACAGACTTCCAACCCTACTGGTGCGTGGGGTTGCAGTGAAGGGTTTGGGTTCATATTTATCACCAACATTTTCCAACCGCTTGCTGTCCTCATCAAAGACTGATCTCTTTGAGAGCAGGGACTTCACAATATCGGACGGCTGTGACCGCAACTCATCAAGATCAAGTATACGTGGCAATCTTGCATTTTTCCCAACACTACCACCTGAACTACTTCCACTGTCATTTACAGCTTCATTTACAGGTGCTGATAAATTGTTCCCCACAACCCTTGAAGACCCAGACCATTTTTCATATTTTTCATCTAAAGCACGAATTCTCTGCTCAAGATCTACAGAAGGGCTACACGGAGAATGTGGAGATTCCTCCGAGTCTGAGGGACTGTCTCTTGGTCCTGGAGACATCGGAGTGTCTAGAACAACACCACCCACTTCACGAACATCACTTCGAACTGCATTATTCCCTCCACTAAAGGGAGGTGAACGCAACATGTTTGCACCTTTTGGTGATGTTGATGCTGCACGTGGTGAAAGATGAGCACGGACTTGTTGTGCAAACCTTGGCAATGGTAAAGACAGTGGTACACTTTGATACCGTTCTCGGTGATGGTGATGGTGATGATTGTGGTGATGGTGATGGTGATGCATGGTGTGACGTGGAGGTTCTGTGGAGTCATCCCTCTCATCACGAACAGGCGTGCCTGGAGGGCTGGCATCACTGTGATCTGCAGCTGCATCACACGAGGAAGACACATGAACGGCATCACGGCGCCAGTGTATATCATCAGAGTCAGGCAAGGATGCTCTGCGGTAGCGTGGATCGTGGAGCCCTTCTTCAGCATGACGAGATGGTGGTGGTAATGGGTCTCCACTTCTCCTGAGCAATCTTCCATCCCTTCGTGCATCATGAGGCCTCCTGAAGTTTGGAATGGCATCACTGCTGTCTGCCATTCTTTTTACACTGTTAGTTTTTTCATAGTTAGCCTCACTGTAACGCGCCTTCTTGTGGGGGCGTTCAGGGTCTGGAGGACGCTCATCCCCAGATGATGGTGGATCATCAGCACCTCGTCTGTGCATTAGTCTCGGGTCTTGTGGTCCACCACCTCCCCCACTACTGCTACTCACTACATCTTCTCCATCTTCTGTGTGTGAAGAACGATGTATTCTGTGAGACCCTGTGCGATGAGGTGATTCTGGGGGGGCTGGTGGTGGTCGCCTTACATCGCTGACTCTTACAACAAGGTCTTTCAGGTCACTGGTACGTCGCCTGTAGTCACCAGGGGCTGGAAGGGAACGATCATCTATGAGGGTTACTTCTCTGGATGGTGAAGCAGCAACTGGAGTTCCTGGTGATCTAGGAGGAGGAGCTAGACGAGATGACCCAGACCCAGATTTTGCTGGCCTTGGTGGTGGAGGAGGAGAGGCAGCACGAGAGCCTGGAGGAGACTGACTGTGAAAACTGTCATGATCACTGGTTGACCTTCGTGCAGTACGGCGAACTCCAGTTTCGTTTTCCTCATACTGAGTTCTTGCAGAAGGGCTTAAACTGCTCCTGTCTCTAGAGTGTGCCCTTTGTGATCCCGGTGAGCGATCATCCCGTCGCCGAGCTGGGCTGAAACTATGACGGCGACAGCTGCCTGCAGCAGTTGCATTATTTGCAGCAGTGCCAACCCCATCTCCATACCGTTGACTCCCAGCATATTCGCGAAGCTCTCGCTCATATGAATCTTCATATGAAGCTCCACTGCCTTGACTGTATTCATCATAGCTTCGCCTGAAATTTTATTTTTGTCAAATATTTTACTAAATGCGAGTATTTCCAAATGTAATTTGTAATTTCAGCAAACATATAATTCTGTACAAATTACATTTAAAAAGGTAAGAACAAAGACTATCCAAACAAACTTACCCTGGTGCAAATTCATCATAATTATCATATCTCCCTCTACTTCTGTTACCGGAGGAGTTGTAAGTGGAAGTGCGATTATTGGTTGCTGGTCTTGCAGGAAAAGCAGCACTTTCTCTCCTGGCACGTTCATACCTGCTGTTATATCTGTTGGCTGTTCCCTCATACCGCCCGGGTTCTCTGCAGAAAAAAATAGTAATTACTTTTTACCCATGATTTCACTAACATGAGACACAAGTTTGTCCTTTTCAGTGTAACTATTTTAAAACAAAAACCTCAAAGAAGTCAACATACTTGTCCAATTCTCTTCTTTCCCATGGTCTTTCTGCTGGTAGTGGGTGGCCTTGCTTAGAAAGGTGGTCAAAAAAAGCAACCTGGCACTCTCTTGAAGCAAAGTCAATTTGAATTTTTCTGCCATTGAGAACTCTTCCACGCATCTCTATGACTGCATTTGATGCACATTTTTCCTGTTGTGATAATCAAGATATTAATGAAGAAAATTATAAATATTCTCTTTATGGAGTTGTATATATCAAATAAATCTGATTTTTTTTCCTATTGACTGTCAAAATAATAAAGATCCTAACAAATCAACAATATCAATAGAAAAACAGTATCAATTATTCAGTGACCATTGAAATAATGGTAGTTACCTATGCATTTATGACTAGTCAAAATAATCAATATGAAGTGAAATGTACTGCAATGCCTGAGCTGAACTTAACTATGAAAAATGTATCTGTAGGATATAATACATACAATACCTAATGCTAAGAGCATTTTACCACAAAAAGAAATAATAAATCATCATACTTACAGCTTCATAAAATATTAATGCATGTCCTTTTTCTCTATCAATTATGGTATGTGCCACAGGCCCAAAACGTGAGAACTGCTCGTAGAGTTGTTGTTCAGAAAGATTTTCTGGTACGCCGTCAATCCAAACACACCGGGTTGGCATAGACTTTCCAAATCCCAATTTAATCCTGTTGGCCCCTAGATGTTCCCCATCCATCTGCCTCATTGCTCTCACCACTGACCTAATGTCAGAGTACTGGCAGAAGGCAAAGGTTGA